GTGTATTTATATAAACGTAATAGATTTTGAATATTTTTAACCAATTTTTATCTCGAAAAAATTAAGTTGAATGGATTTTATTTTTTAAAGCGCTTGAAATAGAAATAGACGATTTATTGCACAGCTTGTAATAGTCTTTCCTTTTCCTAAAATGTATAAGATATATACTTCACAGATGCATTGTAAGTCGACAATCATTATCACATTTCCAGCATGGCAATGAAAAATATAAAGGAAAGCAAAACATAACGCGAGGAATAAATGGATGAACAGCTGTTAAAATCTATTTTTTACCAACATTATATTATTAGAAATAATTCAAGTAATCAAAATTATCGATATAGGCCAAAAATTAATAGCTATTAAACAATTTAAAAATTTGTAAGAAAAAAAAAAAGAAGAAAATACTTTAGATTATTCCTGTTTGGAGCAATTCATTTATGCTATTCGAGAATTATAGTTTCTTATGTCTAAAATGAATAATTGCATTGCTTAATAAAACAAAAAAAAATCTCAAATTATTATATTTACATTAAATATGTTAAAAACATATCATCGGAGAGTAGTATTTCAAAGTAATATTTTAAAGTAATTTAAGTAAACGACTTGGGCAATAATATTTTAGTAGAAAATTCCGATTACTGTACGTAAAGATTTAATTATACTTAAGAAAATTAGAATTTTTTTACTCAAATAATTATAATTCTATAATTTACTAGAATATCGATAATTATAAAAATATCTTCAATATTTTCAAATTACAAATATTAAGAAATGTATAATTTTACATTAAAATAAAAATGATTAATAATACTATTCATCGTTTCAATAATTACGAAAATATCTGAATTTGCTAAGAGATATTTACTAAAATATCAACTACTAAAAGTAAATTCCTTCTCATGTTCGTTCATTTTATATTGATATTTTATGATGAAATTATTGATTTTTAAAAAAAAAATTTATGTGAATTAAATTTTCTTCTTTTTATTCTCGACTTACACATATATTGTAGAAAAAATAAATATAAATTTGTCCGCAAAGCTGGCTTTTAATTGATAATCTCGTATCTTCTTAGAAATAAATCAAAAATTATAAATATTATCATTTTTAATGTAATTTACTATTAAATGAGAAAATTCAAAAGTTTATGATATTCTTATTAATGTAATTATTAATTTACTTGAATTTTATTTATTACAAATTTTAATTTTTAAGTAAATTTCATTGCATATGCTATAAAGTCATATTACTAAATTATAATAATCTCTTTGTTGTATAAATTTGTAACATTTATAAAAAAAAAAAATTTCAATTACTATTTAAACGTAACATTTCATCGTTAATTATTTTATTGAAAATAAAATTGTTTAAATTTATATTATATGGTAATTCACTGGTTATTTTGTATGAATTTGTTAGTTATATAAATTCGTAATATTTATGAATTATCATACTTCTGAGTATAAAAATATAATATTCGTCAGTAACAGGCGAGTTTTATCGTAAAATTGAATGAAGAAAGCGAAACATAAAAATACAGAGAAATTAAATTCGTTATTAAGAATATTGAATATTTAAAACCTAATAATTATTATAATTATTATATTTAAAAACTGTTGAATTGAATTGATTGTTTTTTTTTGTTTTTTTTTATGTTGCAATAGGTTTCACGAGTAAAAATATCATCCAATGGTTTTATTTTGAAAATGTTTCACATGTACGAGTATTAATATAGAGAAATGTATGAAGGGAAACAATTTTTTTATAAATGAGTTATATTTTTAATTGAAAGTAAGAGAAATAGCGCTGTGACGTGAATTGAGGGAATATCTATCTTATTTCAATTGAAATAAATGATAGTTTTATCGTAAAAATTATCGTGTAAATTCAACGTGAAATTTTATTTGAAATTTTAGAAAAATTACATTAGGTAGCGGTGAAAGATTTTGAAATTAAATTGAATAGCATAAAATGATATAATTAAAATTACATTAGAAAATTATTTAAGTTATCAAGCTTTACTGCTTCACGCTTTTTTTAACTTTGCAACTATTTTTCATTAACAGAAACAGCCTAATATCCAAAAATGAAAAAAATTTTTAAAAAATATACAAATTAAAATTTATCTTTGGATTTATTATTAAAGACTGCTAGCTAATTGGCTATTACAAATATTACATATAATTGAAAAAATTTTATTAAAAAATTGGTTTCCTTTTATTACATTGTTGGCGAGCAATCTCGTATTCTCTATTGACGACGAATTTTATGAATAAAATATCATCTAATTGTTCTGGTAATCAATTCGGGTTTGTTTATTTTCCCAGCCTTTTATACTTTGACTCCTCTTACAGTTTCATCCCATCTTCATTTATATGACAACGCATGCTCAAACCTACTTGCACACAAACACGAATACATTCTGATTAACAAATGCTTGTACTTTTTCGTTAAATAAATTAGCGTTATATTGAGGAATATTTAAGGTTAGTTTGCTAAACCAATAGTTCATTAGTATATAACGGATTAAATTATCGTAATTTCAAATGTATATATATATATATATATATATATATATATATATATATATATATATATATATATTTAGCATTATATTGCAAATTCTTTGACAACCTAATTTATACAGGAAATTCTTATTATTTTTTGTAATGAAATTCTGCCAATAATGAATAATGATTAGTGAATATAAAGATTTGATTATTCTTAAGATGCAGATTAGCATTTAGAAAGGTCTTATATGTAATTTAGAAAATTGGCAAACCTTCAAAAATATAATAATTCATAACTCGGCCGCTTGTCTTCATAGACGAATTATTGAAATGAAACGACTGAATAGTTATGGCTACGCGAACTTTATTAAATACGAATTCTCGCTGTTCTTCGACGATATGAAATAGCGTAATGTCGCTGAAATAGGTAAAGGGCACACGCGGTGCATATTGGTATCCAAAGGCCGTTTCTATGCTAACATAAATCCTTTACCGCCAGTGAAAACGTCATCGTTGTCGTCGTTAAAACGCCGCCTGATGCCGATGTCACCCTTGGATTACAACAAATCGGGCGTCTATCTGACGAAGAACGCGAGCCTTGATCCGGTGAAAACTGTGCAGACCCTCGACAAGCACGTAGCCGCTTACTATCGAAACACCAAAGTCATCCAGACTGGAAGCGGCGACGATAAAGCCAACAACGCCGGAGGTCACGTATCTTTTTTTTCATTATTTATTCCTGGGTTTGTTATCTCGCATATAGTATGTGCTTTGTAGAAAGCGATACTCGGTACATACAAATTTCTTCCTTATCTCGGTTATTGCACAATTGGGTATATTTAAAAGAGCACCTCCCTATTATTACTCCTGTTGGCATTGAAATGCACAAGTTTGATTTTTAAAGCGTGAAATAACAAATAAACTAGCCTTCATAGAATAACTACATTTGCAAATGCTTTATTAAAGGTACGACCATATTAAATTAGCTTGGCTCATTATTGAAGAATAATTTTTAAATTTTTCATTTGAATAAAAACAAAAAAAAAAAAAAAAACAAAAAAAAACAAAAAAAAACCAAAAAAGAATATATATATATATATATATTTATTCATAATTATATTTCTGAGTGCTTAACGATGAATTTATATGATAATATTTGTATTAAAACAAAATCTAGGCAATTTGCAACTTTCTTATAATAACGAAATATCTACCGTTCAAATCGATACTCGGAACATTACGATTTTCTAATACATTAAATATTTGCTTTAATTTCATTTTAGCAATTATTAACGACATCGCAATCAAAATAATAATATTCATGTCATTATCATTATTCAATAACAAATTTTTATAATAGTACATTGTGATTTAACACATCCTTTATTTATAAAGTCGAATGATTATAAAATCACGTTCGATTGAAATACAAAATTGTAAGCTTATTAACATAAACGACAAATATAATTCCAAGTTTGTTGTTTCAACGGGACATAATAGAGATATAGAGATAGAGAGATAGAGAGATAGAGAGATAGAGAGATAGAGAGATAGAGAGATAGAGAGATAGAGAGATAGAGAGATAGAGAGAGAAGATAGAGATAGATAGATAGAGATAGATAGATAGAGATAGATAGATAGAGATAGATAGATAGAGATAGATAGATAGATAGATAGAGAGAGACTGATTTTATTTTATACTTAAATTCATTAGCAACAACGATGGATTTGCAATAAAATCACAATACATTTGATAAATATATATTTGAACATAATATTTTCATGAACTTTATCTTCTTGCTACATATCCAATGTATTTTATTTAGTTACGAATAACTTGTAATCTATTATCATTTAAGTTATTTATTTATTTCCCTTATCGCTCGTTCACATCCGATTCCAGATCAATTGTTCTTTAGTAATTCTTTTATATTCATTACTTTTCTTTCTTTTTCCTTTTTTTTTTTCTTTTTTTGATCGTTTACAGCAGGTGATTGATTTTTATTTTTTTACTCCATGTAGATATACTCAAGTAATTTATCATAAACTATACTAAGTAAACAAGATACTTCCTGCTGTATCCTTGAATTTCCGAATATTTTTCTAACTTTATGCTCAAATACTATAATATTCGTTTGGGATTCTCCATTGACATTGCTTTATTGAAATTTTCTAAATTTTTATTACCAATATCATATATTGCTTGATATATTAATAAATTTGCTCATATATTTAATAACTAATTTTTAAAGAAACTTCACTACCAACAACTTCATATTCCTACATATTAACTTCTTCAATCTTATTCAATGTTGTTGAATTTAAGATTCTTTGAATGATTTTAATATAATTTCTATTTGCATTGAACGTGTGCTTTGATATATATACCGATTGAGTATTTAACAACATAGGGGAATTTTACTTACGCCACTATATTAATTTAATGGCATCATTGTTAATTTAATAATCGTAAATTAAATTTTGATAGAAATTTCGCTCGATATCAACGGTATTTTTTTTCTTTTTTAAATTTTTTAATATTTCGAATGCACGCAACACAAAAGCTATTCATAACAATATGTAAAAATAAGTCATAAAAAGAAAAAAAAATTGAAAAGAAGAAAGATATTATCGCTAGATCGAGATAAAATGACGTCACACCATTGCAAGCACACTTAGAGTCATAGCGCAGTAATAAACAAAATTGGAAAAATTTTTTATCTAATTATCACCATTCATAAATTGTCGATAAAAGCAACGACCATGACAATAATAATAATAATAATAATAATTAATAATAATATTATTATTATTATTATTATTATTATTATTATTATTGCCATTAATGTTGTTGTTTTTGTCGTTATTGTCGTTGTTACTATTATTACTATTATTGTTGTTGTTTTTCGTTGTTATTTACGTAAATTGATTATTATTGTATATGTAGTCGTTGTTGTCGTTACTATTATTGCTATTACTATTATTATTGTTGCATTTTGGTTATTACTCAACATAATGTTGAGCGTTCTTTTTTTTCTTTTTTTTTCTTTTTTTTTTTTTTGTTAATTTTCTTGAATAATAAACCAAGTTATGTGACCTATTTATTTTTTAACAGTGTGGCTATCTGACTTTTGGAGCTAGTCCAACAAGATAATGCCAGTCGCAGGGACAGATTTTAAGAAACACGAAATGAAGTCCTTTACTTACCACTGAGATAAGTTTAATTTTGTATCAAAGTAATTTGAGTTCTGGTTGTAAAGCGAACATATCGCCGGACGCATTCATATTTTCTACGTTAGAATAATGACTAATAAGATTGTTTTAAGTTGAAAAACTATTGCAAAAGTAAAAGTAACTAGAAAAAATTGCAAGTTTAATGTAAACAATATAATTTCGTTTCGTCCTTTACCTCGTATGAAAGACAAAAAAGAAAAAGAAAAAGAAAAAGCATTTATCGTTTATTCTAAATTATAGTACGGCGAAAAGACATTAACCAGTCAGTAGAAAAAGAAGGACTTGGGAAGTTCATAATATTTTAATCTATTATGAATATACGTTTTTATAATATATTGATTATGTAAATGTCTTTGAAACTATTTTATGTATGAGACGACCAATATTTGTATGTGAAACAATTTATTATAATTTAGCTGGTATACCGATACACGATATTCCCGTAGAACTTACTCATTGTCGGTTCTTTTTTAATTTGCACTCCTAAAAATAAAGAGAAAATGTTTCGTCCACACGCGTCCACACTGTAATAAAAAATATATTATCATAAATGTTTCCGGTATACACGCCAATGTTTATGAATTGAAATTTTTTTAAATTTTGTAAATTAGTATTCAAGACTTTATTCGTTAATTTCTAATAAAAAAAAAAAAAAAAAAAAAAAACAAAAAAAAAAACAAAATTTTATTTAATGTAATGCTGTTGTACAATATTTATTTATGGATAGCGTCAATATTATCCGTTCTTGTTTTATTTTATTTTATTTTAATACTTTTTAATACTGAATAACCGAATGGTTAGGATAAATATTTATTTCAAACATATTTTGACGCGCACGTAACGCTGAATTTAAATATATTTTAGAGACAGTTTTTAACATCTATTAATAAATTAAATTTATTATATTTAAAGGAGAATTACATCATGAGAGTAATGATATTCGACTTTGGAGAAAGACGCGGGTTGTATGTTTATTCACAAATACACAGTCCTAATGAGTCTGTCATTTAATTTATTTCATATGATGAATTTAACTTAATTTTATAATTAGTAGTCGAATCTACATCATTTAAGGTAAATTGCAAAATCATTTCTCCTCGACGTTGGCTTTTCCATTCTCTTTCAAATGCTTCAACAGTCGAAAAGACGTGCGATTGTCAAATAAAAATACATGAAACTGGAGCGTACAAATGTTAAATCAAAAATAAAATCTAAAAATAATTGTACAAATAAATAGTTATATAATATGCAAGTATATTTTAAAAGGCGGAATTCGTTGACTTAACTTGTTTATTAAAAAAAAAGAAAGAAAAAAAAAAAAAAAAAAGGTAAAGATAAAGCCTACATAATGTTGCAACAAATTTAAAATTAAATCATAATTGTTATTAAACGGAAGAAGCTCGAATGTCAACTAAGGATCCTTAAAAGGCACTCGTTAAGATTTTCATGCAAATAATTAGGGTGCATTTGAGTATAAAAAATATTCCACAAATAATCATCATAACGTCGAAGTTAGATTAAATTCCAAAAAATTATTTTATAACTATATTGCGTGAAAGTCGTCTGAATAAAAAAACTTCTGCCTAAACAGTCTATTCATGTTTTTAATTGTCAGTAATCGTAAGTTATCGCAAGCACTAAGATTCTTCTCTGTAGGCTGTAATACGATAATCTGTAAAATGTTTTGACAACGTTCCAAGAAAGTTATATGGCTACGGATTATTTGTTTTGCAAGTCAGCCGTATAAAAATATTGACGGACGAGATTAAAAGACAAAAAAGCAAAATTACGATGTTCAGTCTGAGCTGCGTACGATATTAACGTCCCATAATTCAACTGAAACCCAATTTAGCCAGCGCTCGTAAAGCGGCACATAGACGAGAGAACCCATCAGCACATTGAGTTTTTTTTTATTTTATTGCTCCCGTTTAACTCCATACATCCATTTTTCCTCCCACTCATCCAACCACCCACCCTCGATCGCTCTTTATATTTCTCATCGCCGCTCTCCTCACTCCATAATTGTGGTTATACCGCCACGGTTTTTGCCCCCATCCGCAGCCACGAAAGTTATAGCACAACTGCAACGTCGCACTCGTGCGCTCTAAAAATATATAACGGCTGCCTCCATAAAAAAAAAAACATGTATTCTATAAATATATGCACGCACGCACGCATCTACCGCGTGCGCATATATATATAATATATGTATTTGTGTATTATATATATATATATATATATATATATATATATATATATATGCACGCGCGCGCACGACACACACATAAGCGTTAAGACGTCGGTAAGAAGTATGGCAACGTCGCAAACGACGAGACGGAGGAGTCGGGGCTGCCTCAGGTTTCAACAACCATCCAGAGTTGAGAAATGTGCCCTCTCAGCGCTTTCCTGTGCACATAGACAGGCGGGTGCGCACACATGCACGGGTGACTTTATAGTTCCGTGGCCCCGAGCGGATATATCAGGACGGTACTTCGGTCTCGTTGCCCTGGCAACCAAAGTTCGCTCTCGCATGGAGAAATTGCTCGTGGTAGGCCAGTAGTAGCAGTTGTGTTAGTAGGATTGGGCGATGGCGGTGGCGGCGACGGCGGCTCTGTCGTCGTCGTCGTCGTCGTCGTCGTCGTCGCCGTCGTCATCGTCAGTGGGGACGGAGAGGATCGTGTAAAGAGTGCGCGGGGGCGGCAAACTATACCTCTGCTCACCCACGACGATGGCACTGAGTTGAGTACGAGAGAGAGAGAGAGAGAAAGAGAGAGAGCTGACTGATAATGTCGTGTACTTCGTACGCTGTCTCTCTCTCTCTCTCTCCCTCTCTCTCTCTCTCTCTCTCTCTCTCTCTCTCTTTCTTTCTTACTCATGCACACACGGGCGCGCACACACTCGATGGAAAGAGAGATAGGGCGCCGCCTTAAGGCTTGATTTTCTCTGCCTCGCGTTTCCATTATGTCCTAGGGTGAACGCTCACAAACCGGTTTTTATAAGGCATCCAAGAACGAACGAGAAAGAGACGAAGAACGGAGTCGAGTCTCGATATTATTACTATTAGAAACTCCGCGGGCTTCTCCCCTCTCACTTAACATCAAGCTAGTTCAAGAGGGAGGGAGGGCGGTCGGGTGGGCGGGTGAGGTAAAGAGAACGAGTGAGAGACGAGAGATTGTACGGGCGAAGCACCGGCTGTGTAATTTCCTTCGTCGACTGGTTAGTTAGAGATACAGCGGTTTTTCTGTCCTCTTTTTGTGTCGCGTTCAGCTTCCCGCTCTCTCACACATTGAAGTTTATGTGTCGCTGCATAAAATTAATAGTTTTCAGAGTTGGAGATATATGCGTGTGGGCAGAGATAGAGGATATGCATAATGCATCTTCGTGAAAACCGTTTCTTTTATTTTTATAGCTCACGGTACGCTCTAAGATTCACTAGACTTTGGGGTATCTCACGAGCATAACTGTTTCTGAACTATTTAACTGAATTTTTTTTTTATTTATTTTTTTTTGTTTTTTTTTTTTTTCTTTTTTTGTTGGTTTTTTTGTTTTTTTTTTTTTTTTTTTTTCGATACAGCACGAGCATTCCACGTTGCCTTATCGTTGGCTTATTAAAAGGGCGCAAACTGCCAGAAATATTGAAAATGGTCGATGAAAATGTTGCTACTTAAATCGCAAAGTCACACGGTGTACTTCCCCGGATGATATCTCTTAAGCAACGAGTCGACAAAATGGCCACCGATGTACGATACCATCCTAACCTAAACCGCGCATTCTCAAAGTCATAAACTCACGTATTAACCATAATGAAACTTTAATACAAATACTCGTCGATTCAATTCAAAATTACTACTCACGTCAATGCAGCTTTATAAAACCGAAAAGTTATTATTCTTCGATCATTAAAGTTTGCATGACAAAGCATCTCTAAGCAACTCATCTCGAATATCAAATACAATATAATAATATTAAACATCAATGGGCATTTTAAAAATATAAGCTCGTTTATAAGGATATATCCAATCTGCTGGATAATATACTTGAAAATATAGTCTCATGTTATAAGATAAAAATACAGAGGGACGAAATTGAGGTGAGTAAGAGAGAATGGCGAAAAGCCTCATCGTCATGGCTGAAGTGCCGCTCTATAGAAACGGCTCTTATTGTTTATTCGGGCCAGCAGTATTCGTTTGGCTCTCGCGATGCCGTCACACCGCTGGCTGACAGCCACTGCGCAGAACCAATTAGAGCCGTCAGTCGAGAGTTCAGCCGATTGCGCTCCAATTATCACACAGCCACTAATGACGACGGGGCAGACAGGCGTGCAGGTAGCCAGGCAACGGCGCTCAATATTCAGACTGACGTCCCAGTTGGGCTGCACCTTTTTCCATTATGTTGCCTTTCCTCTCAATTATACGAAAATATGCCGAGTCCTTAAAAAGAAAAAGATAATAGAAAAAAATCACTCATTTTATCACCATTCCTCGGCTCCCTTCAGACACTATTCCTTTTTTATGTTTTCCTTTTTTATTTTATGTATAATCACCGCTACTACCTCGGCTACTGTTGCTACTTTTTCACACGGCTTGCGTGAATCAGATATATATCATCTTGATGCAACATTAGCAACTAGCACTCGTAACATCGACTAACGAATTAGAGATAATATTACATTAATCTCTGGCGAGACAATGCGTCCCTAATGATAAAATAGATCGTGATTGTTGCGCTTAAGAAGGGGCTGAGAGAATTGCTGAAGCGATGTCGCCGACATATGGTGGGGCGGAGGGGGGGGAGGAGGGGGGAGGAGGAGGAGGGGGGGAATGCAGGCGGTAACGTTGTTGTTGTTCAGACGCATCAGTAATCACGACGCTGAATGTAATATATCACGAGCTTTTCTCAATCGGCCGATCTTTCGAGTAAGTTTTGAGCTGATTTTCCAACGCTCAAACGATGGTTTAACCGCCGTGAAATTCGTTTTGAATGTCATTTGTCGTTAATGCCTTAAGTTTCTTTTATCTTTTGGTTTTGTCCCTCCAAGTCCTGGCCAACCAAGTGAGCGCGCACTGCTGTTGTAGCGGGCATCGCTCCGACTGTACATTTATAGACAAAAAGTACCCGGGAGAAAGTATGAAGCATGCATAGCGGGCACCGTCGCTCGAGTTGTCGTCAGTCATCAGAATCCACGAACTTTTGAATGTGTG